CAATTACACAATAGGTCCAGGAAGTGTAACTCAGACTATGACAGGGAAATGCAAGGTGGGTGCTGTGTGGCCAAAGGGCTGGAGCACCCAACACAGCCCAGAGAGGACCCCAGAAAAATGAACGTGTGGAAACTCATAATTGAGTCATTGACCTTCCCAGCTTTTTCAAAAGAGAAAGGCCAGTGAGTCACAGTTATGCTACAACTCTAGGCCGTCTGACTTTCTTCCAATCTACTGGCTTAAGGACGTTTAATTCTTGGCTCTCTGAGACACTCAAAATAAACAACAACTGTCTTTTTTTTTTTTTTTTTTTTTTTTTTTGCTCTGATTTATCTCAGTCTTCAAGTTGTACTGGCTTCCTGGATATATCACTCAGATAATCCACTATCTTATATAGTGTCCGAAAGCCATAGTCACTCAGAATCCCCCATTCTTACAAAAATAAAATCAAATCCTAAGTTTCTCATTCTGATTCATTGAGCCACGATCCTCCCAAATAAGAAAACCTGAGAATAACATAAATACTATTGGATATTTATTAGTCCTACTGCCGCACTTACAGACGGAAGGATAAATAACTTACGCAGTGCCATGATTAGCAATAGAATTCACGGCCTCCATCTAAGCTCATAATAAACAACAAAAATGGAAAATAAACTCAGAGCCAGATATCCAAAATTATTCTAATTCTAATATACTTTATACTTCAGTTATTCATCTGAAGGATATAGACAATAGTGGCACTTTTACAGGACGCAGTTAAATGAGGTAATTTACCGCAGTAAATAGGACATAGTAGATGTGTAAGAAATGCTTGTCGAATCACTCACTCCTTAAATTGACCATTTCTAATAGCATTAGTTCTCTCTTACCTTTCCTTCTCTGACTCATCTCTTCCCACTGTCTCTGACCTAAGGCCCTACCCAGCCTGCAAAAGCAAGCTGTGACTGATCTCGAGTTCCTTTTCCAGCCTGAATCTACCCACACACTATTGCACTGCCAAACTTTTAAAAATCCTCTTCAACGGGGAAAAAAAGGAGACATATGTAATACTTTAAACAATAAAGGATTAAAGAAAATAAAAATAAAAATCCTCTCCCCTATTAAAAAAAAAAAAAAAAAAAAAAAGAGGTTGTCCTGCCTACTGGCAAAAGGACACAAATTTCATCCTATGTTCATCTTAACTACCTCAATTTGGCCCCATAAGCCTTTTCAAACCATTTTTCCCGTGTTTCCAGTGTGCACACTTTATTTCTCTGGCTGGCTTCTTGGGCCACTCACTATCAGCCCTGAGTTCAAGTTATGCCATCTCACCACCTCCTAGAAGCCTACTCTAGCAAGTTTAAATGAGCTTTTTTTCTCAGAATCAAAGGCATTAATGGCATTCGATCTTGTATTGTTCTCTAACTGTTTTACTCACAAATGTGGCAACTCTGGTTCTCTGAACAGATTACAACTCTGACCAAGTTTTTGTAAGTCTTGTACTTAACATCCCTTCCACAGTGCCTAAAATGTATTGTAGTATAATAAAAAATGTAAAGAATGCTAAATAATCTCAATTCTTATAAAAGCAAGTTATAGAAGATTTCCCCTATAATGCCAATTCACACAGTTAATCATTTCCCCAATCATTTCAGAAACTATATTCTGAAATTTATAGGAAGTGAAAATTAGCAAGTGAACAGAACATTTTAATACTATAATACAGGATTATTTCTGTAAAATAACCTGGCACATATAGTATATTTCAGGCAAATTTCGTTTGTCAAAATATCTCAGGGATTCCTTTAATTAAAAAATACAGTTACGTCTACATTGTGAACTATCTTCTGGAACCAAAGCATTGCTGTCTGCATCTGTGGAGACCGAGCAGGGAGTGTGCTGGTTTAGGGTTAAAGGCAAACATTTCTAAGGCTGCTTTTATCCAGTTCCAAAGTTGTAAATGAGAAATCCTGTCCCTCATACCTCACTTTTCACAACGTTGAGAGTTACTTTATATTTACTGTTTTTAAGAGAGCTTCAGTATTTGCCACACTCTACCTGTTGGGGAAATGCTTTGGTTTACAAAAGCACTCATACAAAACCCTCAGGGTACGCCTGCTTCTGGAATCTTGGCTATCATCTCAAATAACTAAACTAGTAGGTGACTGTGGTTCATTAAAAAATAAGATAATAATAATAATAATAATAAACACCAAACAGACTGCATGCCGAGTCAACTGGCTAATTCTGAATGATGGCAAATTAAACATAAACGGGGCGAAGGATCATAGACATGATGACATTGGTTTCCACTGTATTTTCAATTTCACATCTTGCTTTTGTGAAGTTTCTGGGAAAAAGAAAAAGTACAAAAGCTCTTATTTGCGCCACAGATAACCTAAATTTAAGTATATATGTGGTGGGATCTTGTAGCAGTTGAGGTGTTTTCTTACTCTCTTCTCTCCTAAGTTTTCTAGCAGTAACAATGGAATATTATTATAATCATGATAAACTTCCAAGAGAAGATATACTCAGGGTCCTTCTAAGGAGGGAGTTTATTTCATTAGATTAGTAAAGCTAACAGGGCATCTATATTTTACCCAGTTAAGAAAAACAAAGTATAGACTATGATCTCTCACTTTAACATTAATACACTGAAAATTCAATTCACTAAGTTCTAGTGTTTTCATTCTTATAATTTTCTCACTTATTAAGAAAGCAGTTTTGCCAGTTTCTTTCCTTTGAAATAATTCCAGCTCTTTACTGATATTTGTAGAGTTAATTCCAACAGGGCATAAAGCAGATGATAGACCCATTTTGCTTTAGTTTTAAAAGCACCTATTTTGCAAATCTTGAATTTCTCCTCTTCAATTTAATCAATCATGTTAAATTTTTTTAAGTTCAATGTTTTTATGAGAACCAAATTAATAAAATGCCTGATAAAATAATGCAAACCAATAGATATTGTTTGAATGCAGGTATTAACTGAAATTAAATAAGACTTTCCAAATACCGTCTGTCTTAAGAAAGTAAGTTTGACCATCGTTGGCTACGATTCTCAGAATTGATCTAAATTCTTCCTAAAGTCACTGAGTTCATGATATTAAATAAAAGTTTTAAGATAAAAGACACACTACTATCTCATTTACTTAAAAAAAGACAACTATAAGTTTGGTTAACTGTATGAATAAGCATTTTATTCATATGACTTAAGTGCATTTTTTTTCCAGGAAATAGTGTGATAGAGAAAACTCAAGAACCTGGAACTCAAATGACAGTTGGGAAAAATTCAGAATCTTGGTTGCCTTTAAAGTTATGTTCATTATCATAGTAAAGTGTTCATTATTTACAACTCCTTCCCCCCTCTGTTTGGCCACCTCCACACTCCATTCCTCAACCATAGAAGTAAATATGTCTAAAATTGGTGTTGGTTTTGATAAGCCATGGTGATGGCATCAGCCTGAATTCTGTGACCATGCAGCAACTTATGGGCAGTTAGGTCCCAACATAGCTCTCCTTGTCACTACTCATCGTCACTGATTTGTAGCCAAGATTTGTGCTCTAAATATACTACACCAGTTAAACACAGGTATTCTGGAATATTTGCTTTGTCAAATGAAGGAGATGTTGGGAGGGGAAAGGAACTAGGGGTCTATTTTTAAATACAAGAGATTTAAAAGTGAAAGTGGTACACAATAATTTTCTTTAAAAATTTTTTCATTGATTTTAGAGAAATAGGAGGGAGAGGGAGAGGGAAACATTGATTGGCTGCCTCCTGCGTGCAACCCAGGCATGTGCTCTGAACAGGAATCAAACTAGTGAACTCTAGGTGCATGGGATGACACTCAACCAACTGAGCCACACTGGCCAGGGCAATGCCAATGTATTTAATGCCACTGAACTGGACATTTAAAATGTAAATTTTACCACAATTTAAAATATATTTTACCACAATTGAAAAGGAAAAACTACATGTGTGTGGGTTCTGAAAACTATATCCATGGGTTTCAGAAGTTTCTCACAACTGTCTAATAAATTTCCAGGTCCAGTATAAAATTTGCAGAAAACTCTTTCTGCAACATAGCTCCTATTAAGTCAGTCTGCTTGAGGCCTCAATAATCCTCCATTCACCAGGAATTGGTAAACAGCACTTACTCACAGAAATCTCCAGCTAAAAGTAACAGAGGAAAGTGTGACGTAAGAGTGGCTGTTAGACAAGGAGCCTGTGGCAACATCATTTGCTCCCAAACTGTGCGCCCCTGTGCGGAGCTGGGAAGCGCAGAAACCTCTACCTCCTACCCCAGGATTGGCCTTACTCCCAGTCCTGAATAGTTGCCAACAGGGCAAGCAAAGGCTGGTGGGCAGGAGTTACAAGGCCTCCGGGCCCCCTGACTCACTGACAGTTCAAGCGCTTCCAGAAGGGCCAGCACCATTCCGAAGGGCTGGGGCTGGCTGCAGCCAGCGGGCCCTTCCCTCTCCTGCCTCTAATCTCAAGTGAGCCTATTAGGCAGGTTAGTGCGGGCTGGGCTGAGAGAGCGCTGAGAGGCTCCAAAGCTGCAAGAGCTGTGCCTGCCTGGGGTCGCAGGTAGAGGACTTTTGCAGACTGATAATCCCTTCAACGTGCAAGAGGTATTTGAAAGAAGGAGAAAGCCCAGAGCCACAGGCTTCAGCTGTCATTGCCATTCTGTTTATAATGCACCCAGGAGAAAACTTTACCTCTGCACAGGCACTGAACTCAGACCGGGGTATCTTCTTACTCTCTCCGAACAAAGTGTGAGCGCCCGTGTGGTTTTCACGTGTGTACAACCAGAACCTAATGCCATGTATGGGACTTTGAAGGCGCTCAGCGAGTAAGTGAGGAACTCAACTATGAAGCTGCAACCAAGAAAGCACGGGCAGAAAGGTCTCCCCAATGTTCTCCAGATGCAAACACACCTCTGCAGGTGCTGTCACTTTGAGACGTCTCCACTGTGTGCAGGTGCCCCACCCAGACTTCTGCACACCCTGGAACTACCTACCAGCAAAGGTGACCAACAGATCGACAGCACGCACATGATCCCCATGAGCTGGATGGCCGTCTCAGTGGTGATCCTACCCCACTGGGCGCTGGACTGCGATGCCATGGCCTTGGCCCGGCAGCGGGATACCAAGGCCTGAATGGTGGCCAGGTTGCAGGCGAAAGTGATGGTCAGCGCAGAGAGCCCCAGGAAGGCAAAGGTGGAGGCGAAGAAAAGGTTGCCCCAGTTGTGCGGGGAGCTAGTTCCGTTGCCGCCGCCCCCGGTGCTAATGAAGCACCACGTCCCGGGCCACTGGACGGTGTAATGGCCCACGCCCAGCACGGGCAACAGGGCGAAGGCGAGCACCGCCAGCCACACGCCGAGCAGCACCCAGCGGGTGGCACGCGTCTTCATGTGGCTCGAGTACCAGTGCGGCGCCCGGATGGCCAGCGCCCGCTCGATGGCCATAGCGCTAGCGACGAAGAGCGAGGAGAGGCCAAAGACAGTCATGGTCAGACCAAAGAAAGTGCACAGCCTCCCCGAAGGGTCCAGGTGCTCCCAGCGCTGCTTGGACAGGTACACGACGATGACCACGGGGCTGGTGAGCAGCTGCCCCACCATGTCCGTGAGCGCCAGCCAGCCGATGCACAGCAGGAACGACTTCTTGCGCTTGCTCTCCCGGCGCCGGTAGCTCCGCGACACCAGCAGCATGGCCAGCGCGTTGCCCACGAAGCCGGTGATCAGCATGGTAATCGGGTACACCACGGACACCGAGCGGCAGTCCTCGCCGGCCTCCGGGGAGCGCGTGAGGTTGCCCCGCGCTTCCTGGGAGCGCTCGGGCGCCCACATGCCCGGGAAGGAGTGGTTGAGGCGGGTGCAGAAAGGGGCGCTCCCGTCGCCCCGGGCTCCCTTCATGTCTGCTTCGAGGTGAGGGTAGGACGGCGCCCAGAGAAAAGCAGCGGGTGCTGGCAGGCGGGGCGCGGGAGGCGGCGGAGGTCTGGAGCGACCCGAGCTGGTGCTGGGGTGGGGCTGCCTTCCATGGTGCGGGCGCAGCCGCCGCCTCACTTGGCTACATTGGCCGCGGCGGCGCCTGGGCTTTCTGGCCAAGCTGGCAGCCGCGCCGTCGGCTCCGGGAAGCCTGTAGCTCCCGGGCGCGCCGAGGTGCCTCGCCCCTTCTATAAGGATGAGGGGGGCGGGGCGCCCGCGGGTGTGGGCTTAAGTGCGGTGGGAGGAGCAGGGAGCAGCCACTGAGCGCGGCTCTCCGCTGCGGAGTGAGCGCGACCCTGGCCGCGGGAGACGGGAAAACAAAACCTCCAAGGGGGCGTCCTGTCGAAACTCCCGGCTTCTGGCCGGACCGGACGCCCTGCCGGCTCTGCGATTCCTCCTGTCTCTGCCAGAGGAGCGTCCAGGGTGGAGGGGGCTAAAATGTCTTGCTGGGCTTCCCAGCCCCAGGCTAGTTGCCAAGGCGCGCCGAAAGCGCCCGCCCTCCTTCTCCACCCACAGGGACTGGATCCTCCCCCTGAAGATCTCTTGTATCCCTGGCAGGTGTAACTCACCCGTCCCAAAGTATTCTAGGCGAACCACACTCCTTTGCAAAGCTGAGTGTGAACTTCTTTCCTTCCTACTTCAGGACTCTGGAATGATCGCGAGCAGGCCAGGCTGCTCTGTCCCCCTGGGGTGCACTGAAACTTCTAAAACTAGTAGTGCCTTGGGACTCAAGGAGATAGGTACAAGGAAACAAAATAAAATCTGATGGTCGAATTACAAAATGAAGATATCCCAGCTCCCACCTCCCAACTAAATTCCACCTCCCCTTATAAACAAGTCAGATAAAAGTCAGCCAAAGTGGCTAGAGGCGGCTGGCCTCCTCTTGCATACCTGCGATCCTGCAGTCAACTGCTGCTAGCTGTGGGAAATGGGGGTGAGGGTGGGGGTGGGGGCGCAGGAGGGAGGCATGCTCTCACAAAGCCTCCAACCAGTCTTCTAAATTAAGACTGGAAACGGTATTTAGATGTTAGGAAGGCCTTCGCCTTTAGTGAAATGGGCATGATTGCCTAGTGTTTTATTAAGACAATATTTCGTTTTCACAAGTATTTTCTCATTTTATCAGAGATCCTCCAAGGTCCCCTTGCTATTATTATTACTCCCTTTTATGGTGAGGTAACTGAAGCTCCATAAAGTTAAAATATATGCCCAAGGTCTTTCAGCAATTCCCGTCTCTTCTCATAGCACAGAACTCTTCACATGGATACCATCAACCCTCTCAGCAGATGAAAATCAATGTTAAGACCAGTTGTTGCCAAATCTAGAAAAGGCTTTTTTGTTTCTCCATGAAAAGATTGTAAAAATTATGTTCAAACTTCATTTTTCTTCATATTTAATACCTTAGACCTAATCAGAACTATGAAGACCACGATTCAGACTTCAGATAAGACTTTTAGAGTTGGTCATATTAGTTTGTCTTTTCTAGTTGGTATCCTTGGAGAATGTAAATGAGTGGTAGATGATGAGAATGGAATATGTTCTCCTGCATTCTTTCTGTACTATTTTCATTCTGAGAGTTTGAAAAAATATATCTTTATAAGATGCTATATTTTTTAAAGGAGAAAACCCAAAATATAACTTAAATGCTATTTTAACATGAATTAATCCCATTACTAATTTCATTTGTGATTTGCTACCATATGAAAAATTTCTTACACTTTTCAATTTTATTTTTTTAAATGTCACATTTCTAATGAGAACAATAGCAAGGAAAAAATAGTGAAGTGGTTTGCTTTTTAAATGGTCACTAAACTTTTATCTTACTAGTTTGGATTATTCTTAACCCCCAAAATGAGAAAGTATTTTTCTAGAATGTCATTTGAAAAGTAAAATATTTGATGGCATTCTTAGATATAGACTTCATCCAAAGAAAATACACATTAAATTTAATTTTCAGCAATAAATTTCTATTTTAATTATATATCTTAAAAATGTAAGACCTTTTCATGATTTATATAGCTATGAAAGCAAAGCTGAATTATTCTTACTTTATTTATGAATGAGACTTCTTTAAAATTTTACTTTCTCAACGAACAAAATTGAAAAAGACTTACAGCCACAGAGAATAGACTGATGGTGTCAGAGGGAAGGGAAATCGGGGGGCTGGGTGAAAGAGATAGAGGAATTAGAAGTACAATCCCTTTACAAATTGATGGTTAAAAAATAATCGCAGGGATGTAAGGTACAGCATAGGAAATATAGTCAATAATATTGCAATAACTATGTATTAGAAATATTAGAGGAAATACTTTGTAAAGTATATGATTGTCTAACCACTATGCTGTACACCTGAAACTTACAAAATAATATTGAAAACTGTAATTGAAAAATAAAATCTAAAGTTCTTTAAAAATATAAAAATAAAAATGTGAAATCCTAACTTAAAAAAAAAAATTTCTCCATTGCAATGCATGCTGTAGCCTATTGGCCTTCATATAATAGGAACAATATCAGTCCATATAGTATCCAAGAATTAATGTTAACCCCCTAATGTTAACTCAACTCCACACGAATGCACCATTAGATCTCTTATGTAACACTTTCCTTCTTTCAGTGTTTTCCTTCATTCTATTTTTGTCTGTTTTGTAGCTATTCACATTGCTGTGATTTGGGGGATCTGAGGATTCACACAAATAGGACACTGGCAGTTGGATTGTTTGGCATCTTTTATTTTTATTTATTTATTTATTTTTAAACATATTTTTTTTTAAATATATTTTATTGATTTTTTACAGAGAGGAAGGGAGAGAGATAGAGAGTTAGAAACATCGATGAGAGAGAAACATCGATCAGCTGCCTCCTGCACATCTCCTACTGGGGATGTGCCCGCAACCCAGGTACATGCCCTTGACCGGAATCGAACCTGGGACCTTTCAGTCCACAGGCCGACGCTCTATCCACTGAGCCAAACCGGTTTTGGCTGTTTGGCATCTTTTAAAAAAATTGATTTGAGAGAGGGAGAGCGAGAGACAGAAACATCTGTAAGAGAAACATCCATAGGCCGCTTCTTTTTCTCACTTTGGGAACCAACCAGAGACTGAACCTGCAACCCGAGTCTATGCCGGGACCCACAACATAGTTACCAGGCCAGGTGCCTGTTTGGTACTTTCTGATGTTAGAGCAGAGAAAGTATGAATTTCTGAATTTTGGTCACCAGCACCCTCTAGTGACCAAAAGATCTAATAACAAGTTCTGAAAGATGTTTTACTTAACACATTGCGTACCGCTCACGAGCTTTCTCATGTTTCGCGCCCCATCTGTTAAGGACCTTAGATGTCAACACACTGTTTTGTCCACTGTGGGACTCGGTTACAGTGTTTTGGCCAGGTTCAAGCCTCGGACTAATGAAAGGACAGGGTCCTCTCACTGCCATGTGCAAGTCCCAGCTGGAGGGCAGGGCCCTCCCAGCACAATCATAGCCAACAGCTGTGGTTGTAAGCTTGAACCTATGGTCCGAACACGTAGCCCCACGTGCCTTGTGCTAGAGTTCGGGTGCATGTAGTTGAGTAGGGTTGGAGCTCACGAGAATGCTGTAAACAACGTGATCACACCCCTACTTTGCCACGGCATCTGCTATAAAATAAAGACACAGGGCTGGCGTTGTCTCCTCTTCAGGGAGCAGCGTCCCACCGAGACCCAGCTATTATTCTCGTCTGTCTTTCCTTAATCCTTTCACACACACATCCCCCCCCCCCCCCCCCCAATCAGAGACACCCTTGGCCGTGCTGGCGCGGCACAGTCCACATCGAATGAAGCGATCTCATTGGTGGAAACCATGCAGGTCAATCTACGAAAAACTATGTAATTGCACGAACCCATAAAGCATTGCAGTTACACTGTATTTTGGTCATTTGAATAGTCTTCATCTTCAAGTTCCTGGCGCTTTTAGAAATGCCCTCTCTCAGAAAAAGGAAGGAAACCAACAAAACTGATACACTTCCGGAAGTATTTAACGATAATTTATCAGATATTCCTAGTGAGATTGAAGATGTGGATGACTGTTTTGACGATTCCGGGGACGATTCTACTGACAGGGAAATTATTAGACCTGTAAGGAAGCGCAAGGTGGAGGTGCTTTCAAGTGATTCCGACACTGACAAAGCTACTGATAATTGCTGGTCTGAAATTGACACACCACCAGGCTTACAAATGTTTGAAGGTCATGCTGGGGTCACTACATTTCCGCCTCAGTGTGACTCTGTACCCTCTGTGACCAATCTCTTTTTTGGTGATGAGTTGTTTGAGATGTTGTGCAAAGAGCTGACCAACTATCACGATCAAACCGCAAAGAAACACAAAACACCATCTAGAACACTAAAGTGGTCTCCGGTTACACAGAAGGACATCAAGAAATTCCTTGGCCTAATTATTCTGATGGGTCAAACAAGAAAAGATAGCTTGAAAGACTATTGGTCAACAGATCCTTTGATATGTACCCCTATATTTCCACAGACAATGAGTCGCCATAGATTTGAGCAAATATGGACATTCTGGCATTTCAATAACGCCAAAATGAACAGTCGCTCAGGGAGACTTTTCTTTTTAAAATATATTTTATTGATTTTTTACAGAGAGGAAGGGAGAGGGATAGTTAGAAACATCGATGAGTAAGAAACATCGATCAGCTGCCTCCTGCACACTCCCCACTGGGGATGTGCCCGCAACCAAGGTACATGCCCTTGACTAGAATTGAGCCTGGAACCCTTCAATCTGCAGGCCGATGTTCTATCCACTGAGCCAAACTGGTCAGGGCATTGGGGAGACTTTTCAAGATCCAACCTGTGCTGGATTATTTCCTGCATAAATTTCGAACAATATACAAACCAAAGCAACAGTTGTCTTTGGATGAGGGAATGATTCCATGGAGAGGACGTTTAAAATTTCACACGCACAACCCAGCGAAAATAACAAAATACGGTTTACTTGTTCAGATGGTGTGCGAGAGTGACACCGGCTATATCTGCAATATGGAGATATATACTGCTGAAGGAAGGAAATTGCAAGAAACTGTTCTTTCAGTCCTTGGACCCTATCTTGGCATATGGCACCATATTTACCAGGATAATTATTACAATGCTACATCTACTGCTGAATTGCTGCTACAGAACAAAACTAGAGTCTGTGGGACTATTAGGGAGAGTAGAGGTTTACTGCCAAATTTGAAAATGAAAACATCAAGAATGAAGAAAGGTGACATATTTTCCAGAAAAGGCGATATTCTTCTCCTAGCATGGAAAGACAAGCGGGTTGTCTGAATGATATCAACGATCCATGACACTTCTGTCTCGACAACAGGAAAAAAAAATAGAAAAACATGAGAGAATATTGTAAAACCTACCTGCATCAAGGAATACAATGCCCACATGAAAGGCGTTGACCATGCGGATCAATTCCTTTAGTGTTGTTCCATTCTAAGGAAAACAATGAAATGGACAAAAAAAAAGTAGTGCTGTACCTTATAAACTGTGGACTTTTCAATTCATTTAGAGTGTACGTCCTCAATCCACAAGCAAAAGTGAAGTATAAAGTTTCTGCTATCGGTGGCGAGAGACTGGATAACGGATGACAATAATGAAGGCTCTCCGGAACCAAAGACAAATCTGTCCAGCCCTTCCCCTGGGGGTGCAAGGAGAGCACCTCGTAAAGATCCACCCAAAAGGTTGTCAGGTGATATGAAGCAGCATGAACCTATGTGTATTCCAGTGAGTGGAAAGAAAAAATTTCCTACGAAAGCCTGCAGTTTGTGCCGCCCATGGAAAAAGGAGCGAATCTAGATACTTATGTAAATTGTTTGGTCCCTCTTCACAGAGGAAAATGTTTTACGCAGTACCACACATTAAAAAAGTACTAGGAACTTTAATTGTTCTTGTAAAAAATGTTATAATTATTGAAAAACAACACCTAAAGTGCATTATGATCTGTAGTTACGATGATTTAAATAACGTGCAGTTTGCCCCAAAAACGTCCGGTCCCTGGCGTACATCTTAGAGATTTCTATGCGGTGCGCAATGTGTTAAGAATCCTCTGATAGCTTTCCTAGGGGTTTACTGACCTAACTCTGGTTTTGTTTTCCTGGCTGCTTAATCTAGCGGTTCTCAACCTGTGGGTCGCGACCCCTTTGGCGGTCGAACGACCCTTTCACAGGGGTCGCCTAAGACCATCCTGCATATCAGATATTTACATTACGATTCATAACAGTAGCAACATTACAGTTATGAAGTAGCAACGAAAATAATTTTATGGTTGGGTCACAACATGACGAACTGTATTTAAAGGGCCAGAAGGTTGAGAACCACTGGCTTAATCAATAAACCAGTGGAGGATAATTGAAATAACACTTTCAAATGTTTTTTAAAAATTTAAAGTATATATTCACATATTATATATTTTAACTTAATTTTTACCCTAGAAAGGATTTTAATCCACAAATTTAATTGTATTACACCTGCATCTTACATTTTAAAATTCACAATTAATACTAAACTATTTACTTCTACTGAACTGCTATTAAGAAATGTTAACATAGCCCTAGCTGGTTTGGCTCAGTGGATAGAGCATCAGCCTGCAGACTGAAGGGTCCCAGGTCTAATTCCAATCAAGGGCACATGCTGGGGTTGTGGGCTCGATCCCCAGTAGAAGTGCACGAGGCAGCAGATCAATGACTCTCTCTCATCACTGATGTTTCTCTCTCTCCCTTCCTCTCCGAAATCAATAAAAAATATTTATTTAAAAAATATAGCAGATGCCGAAACCGGTTTGGCTCAGTGGATAGAGCGTCGGCCTGCGGACTGAAAGGTCCCAGGTTCGATTCCGGTCAAGGGCATGTACCTGGGTTGCGGGCACATCCCCAGTAGATGTGCAGGAGGCAGCTGATCGATGTTTCTCTCTCATCGATGTTTCTAACTCTCTCTCTCCCTTCCTCTCTGTAAAAAATCAATAAAATATATATTTTTTAAAAAAATATAGCAGATATTAACTGACTCCCTTGTCAAAAATTGATCGCCTGACAGGCTGTTCGAAGGTCTATCAAGAAATTCACCTAATCCCTATGATAACTCAGAAGTACCAGGATGGCATTAGTATTCTAAAAAGAGTTATGAAGGCCAAATGTGAAAGGGATGATAGTGGAGTGTGTGCAGGGCATTCATATCATAGGAAACTTGAACGAGTGTCTCTCGCAAGTAGTTCATATGTACCCAGGTATACTAGATTTCGAGTTTAGGAGGATGAGGTGGTGAGATGTCAGTACTTAAAAAAAAAATGACCTTTTTATGACATATAAAAAGATTGTAGTTTAATCCTGAAAGCCATGGAAAGACACTGAAAGAAATGACATAAACAAAATTGATAGTTAAAAAGACCACTTTGGTATCACTGTTTGGTGAAACAAATTAATTCAGCAAATAGAATGGAAAACCTTCTATTTGCCAGACAGAACTGGAGGCCAGATGACCATTTAGGAGGCAACATAATATCTTAGCTTACAAACCAAAGTAGTGGCAGTAGTAATGGGGCAGTGTGGGTTTGAGGCTTTGAGGTAGAACTATTAATTCTAAGTAAATCAGATTTGGTTTAGAATAGGGAAGCAAAAGAGAAATCTAAGGATTCCTTCCTATTGACCAATATCACCCCAATTTAATTAGAAAGACAAAGAGGAAAGAAAACAAAACAAAAATTCCCAAGTTACTGATAATGCTGTTTATTGATATGAAATATAATACTGGTTTTGGTGGATACTGGGGGAATTTAGATATGGTGAAACTGACATTTATTTAAAGGGAGACAGATACACAGTGGGTAGAGATACAGATTTGGTGCTGTAGAAAGGAATAAGCAGGAAATAAAATTTGAGTATTAGTATTGTATGAAATATCTGAAGACATGAGTAGAGGGTAAAAATAACAGCCAATATTTGTTATATACTTATGTGCCAAACATAAAGAACACGGCAGGGTCATAGAGCTACCATGAAAAATTCAAAGCAGGCACTTTAACTCTAGGGGAAAAAATATAGAAATCAATTATCACTGCCAATTCAAAACTGGATCACACCCATTAAAGTAAACATTACTAGTACTTCGTTACATTCAGGTTGGAGGTACTCAGTCTTTGTGATGACTCCACTAGGTTACAGATGTTTCATTTTGGAGATACTGTAAAGGTCTCTACCTCATCAGTTTCAATCAGTGTTCAATGTGGTAGTTTAATTCAGACAGCATTATTACAAATTCCTCTCATTTTCCAAGGTTTCCCATAGCCAGTTATTTTTGGTCCCCTAAGATGTGATCAAATCTTGAACCTTCACAAATTAGCTCACCTTATTAATCTGTAAAGTTTCATTTGGGCAAAACTGATTCTTCCCATTTTACGTTTTTTTTTCCCTACCATGAAAAATTCTATGGAATGTTCTCCCACTGGACTGAAATAATAGGAAAGGGGTTGTCTTATACATTTTTAGCTTTAAATCCAGGTCTTTTACTTGAGTAATGCTATATAACTATCTTCATAATCTTCTTCTTAGATGTATTTTAATAATTCATTAAAGTTTTTATGAATTTACCTGGTTATTATATTTTTCTTATGCTAGTACCTTTTATTTTGATAGACATTTAGGAACTATTACTTATTACATGTTAATCTTCTGTTTCTGTGTATAATGCTACAACATCCCATATCCTGGGTAAGCACCCATGTGCTACAGTGTGGCTGGGGAAAAAATCATAACGTGTTTACTGGTCACTCTCAGTGACTACAAACTTAGCTCTCCTACTACATGGATCCATTCCTCCTGTTACTCTAGTTAACTGTCAGACCCCTATTTAAGGTTGATGCCACTGCCACCACATTGCTAGATCCCCTTCCATTAAGTATTCGAGGAACCTCTCTAACACTTCTTCCTTCTCTCCATCATTTACTTTCTGTTCTATTGGAGTATGGAGGCATGTCAAAGACACAGGAGCCAACCTGAAAAAATTCCCAATGGCTAAAGATGGAACAATTTGAACCATAAACTAAACACTGCACTGAACTATGACCTAAAGTCTAAAATAAATAAATATGCATGAGTCCATGCTGATATAAAGTAGTAGACAAAACTTTCTTACAGAAGAATCCAAATTATGAAGAGAAAGCCTTCCCCCACAGATGGCATTTAATACTGCCACTCCCATGCCTACGCTGACGGTGGGCTACACTTAATGATTTGCTACCAAAAAATGGGAGTAGGCTAAGAGGAAAGAAACTAACTACAATAGTGTATTAGAGCAATTCCTACCTTAACCAAATGATGAAGGTTAGCACCTCCAGTGATGTCATATGGATACCATGTAACCCTGGTATGATGTGGTAAGGCATTTTTCCTCTATGGTATTCATATTCCAAAAACCCATACCCCCAGTCTAATAACAAGGAAAAATATAGACAAACTTAAAATAAGAGGACATTTACAGGATACCCGGCCAATATTCCTTAAAATAGTCAGTCATCAAAAGCAAAGAAAAAATGTCAGACCAGAGAGGTAAATGTGGTACCTGGATTGGATCTAAGAACAAAGTAATGGAAAAATGTTAAAATTCAAATCAAATCTGAACTGCAATATACCAATGCTGCTTTCTTAGTTTTGACAAAAATATGTGGTAATATCTTAATGATGGTAGAAACTGGATGGGGAGTTTATGGAAACTCTCTCTATAATCTTCACAACTTTTCTGTAAATTTAAGGTATTCCACAAACTGAACATGTCTACTTATCTTCCCATACATGACTGAGATGATCACCTTCTTATAAAAATCACTGGATTAAAAAACATCTGACCATTTTGGCTTAATGTTATCTTCTCAAAAAGCTTATTTGGTTATCATAGGTAATACTGAATTTTGCCATCAGATTTGGGGGTTAATCCTCATTCAGCCACACCTGTGGCTCCCTTGGAAAGTTTTTCATTTCCTTAAGCTGTGTAATCCTCCTTTATGTTAAATGGGACATATTATGTAAGGGTGACAGAGAAAATTAAATAATACCTGTAAACCACTTATTACATACCTTAAATGACTTTTAATTACCTATCTTCTTACCAACATCTATAAGGCAGGCTATGAATGCCACATAGCAAGAAGAGATGAGACAGGAAGCTTTTTTGAGACAAGAATTGTTTTATCTTGATAAATGTGCCTAGAGATGATCTTACATTTAGGGCTTACTCTGAACTTGGTGAAAGGACTGCAAATAGAAACTTAAGATAACTTAGCAGTTACAAAGAACAGTTATTGAGTGCAATAAAGTGAGTTTTAAGAGTAATTCAGAGCCTGAACAGCATGGCTCAGTTGTTGAGCATTGATCTAGGAGCCAGGAGGTCATGGGTTCTGATCCCAATCAGGCCATATGCCTGGGTTGTGGGCTTGATCACCAGTGTAGGGCATGCAGGATACAGCTGATCAGTGATTCTCTCTGATTTTTGAGTACCCAAGGTGATAGTGATGCTTTATAATGTTTTAAACCAAGCACTCCTATATGAAAATAAGATGACGTTATATACAGGGTAAGTTGCTGGAGGCTAAGACCAGCAGGTCATAAATGCAAGAAGTCCTCAGAAGGCTGATGGACTTTGATATTCAGCAGGGCTGAAAAAAAACAGTCAGCATTATATTACCCTGCTGCTGGCCAAATGGCTGAAGGCGATCTCCTAACCTGTTAATTTTTAACTGTTTATCAAACCTTACCAATGAAATGTCTGTTTGCTTTGCTAAAGGGCAAATGTATATATATATTCTAGTAAATAAAAAGCCGTGAGTCCGGAGATTCAGAGAGCCACTCCACTAGAGGAGGAGTTCTCTGCCTGGCTTTCCCCCATGCCTTCTAAATTTATATTTCTTGTCTAGTGTATCCGTTTATGTTGTAGCCCCTTCTCCAGATCCTTGAACCCTTGATGCAAAAGGCTGCAGCAGTAAGTGAATATAAAGAGTTTAAAATGAGAAGTAACAAACAAGGCTGCAAATAGCTTTAAAAATGAACATTAAATCAGCATTTAAAATTTCTAATTTATTTCTAACAAACACCACTTGATGCTTGACTCACAAGCTTTATTTACATTTGTCTACAGCATCATTTCCTTATGGACTACTACAGTTTAGTTAAACCAAATGAAATCATAATCATCTGAATTGTCTGTAAACAACTATTAGCTAAATTTATAATCTTGCATTTATTTAGTACAGCCAAAGTTTAAATACAGAAAGCACAAGAATAAACCAATAGTAACATGTAAAATCTAAAAGATCACCTGGGCATTTTAGGAGGTGGACTTTCAAGAAGTCTGAGGCACAATTACAAGAGAGAAAAGTTCTTGTGCAAACTACAGTAAATGTAGGAAAGAAAATTAAGACAAAAAAAACAAGGGGCAAGTTCATTGTAAAAATATTATCAAAATATTTCTACATAAGATATTTTGATTTCATCTTTAGATCAAGTGAAGAGAAAAACCACTCATTTTAAAATAAAGAAACAAATATAATTTTGTTTGGTCTGTCTACAAAATGCCTTAAAGCATTTTAGTTTTTAATTGCAGAAGACATTACAGTTCAAAAAAACCCCCAAGAAACAGAACAAGAATAATGGGTATTGATCCCCATGACAAAAAGTCCTCAAGCACAACTGCTGATCTTCCTTAACATACTTACCTTGCATTGTCACTGAAGATACTGTTAAGAGAAACCTTTTGTTTTTAAACCAAAAGACATAATAAAGCTTGTGACCAGATTTTAATTTTGAGAAATAAAACAAACTCTGAAAGTATTTTAAGCCATAAGTAATTTGAAGTGAACAGGAACAATTATTTCTGCTTGTGTTGTGCAGAAATAAATATTCATTTATTACTAAAAAAAAATTTTATTAAGTGTTTAAAGTTAAACATCTCACAGCAAAGGTTTGCTTAAATTAACAATGTCTCTGTTGGTCTTTCACCCAAAGAGAACTATACTTCAGAAGCTTTCTTCATTAACTATAATTTAGCTTTGTCTACCCTATCATGTGTGATAATGGATTTTTAAAAGACATCACACAAAGCTTCTTAAAATAGTAAGATAAACATTTTGAACATAAGATGTTTTCCTCATCAGACAACCGTATCAGCAGATTAGAAATGAACTGTTAGATATTCTTGCTCAAATGATGTGTCAGAGTGAGAAATATGGAACACCTTTCTCCTTCTACAATTCACAAGATTTTTCTGCATTAAATGTGGTGCAAAAAGCAAAACTGAATAAAAGACAGAATAATTCTAAGGCACCCTTAGCACAGGGAATTTAAGAATAAAGTTTCTAGTTGGCTGTTTTACAACTAGTTTAACTTTTTCTGAGAAGAATCACTTTGACATAGGTTAACATACAGAGGCTGACTCCTTTTCTCAGATTAACATAAACAGACTGTTTCCAACTACTTCACCACAGTCTTGCCTCCATGCCCAAAGTTCAGGCAAGCCTAAGGTAACCATAAGTCACTAAACAATTCCTATTTGGAAATGAGGAAAACAAGAGTTCAAATTAGGAAACAAAGTAAACAAAAACAAAAAACCAAAAGAAGCAAAGTACTTCGTTATAGATGAGATGGTTTTTTAAAAAAAATGACTGTAAATAAAGAACGATAAATAGAGCATCTATTTTGGGACATTATGGCTTAAAATACTATTTACTTTTAATTTCACAAATAAACACAGCTGTATTGTTCTGAAAAGCAATGAAAGGCATGCACCTCTACTAGGAGACTTAGCACTTTTGACCAAGTAAGACACCAACTTCTTAAAAAATATGCTTCATGCACTGTACTGGATTTTTTTTTTAAGATGTAAATTTTAATACATTATTTCTTTTTTGAACTTGAACGGGAACCAGAATGGGATGATCCAGAAGATGACCTGTGGTGCCTGTAAGACATAATAGAGAAAGCAGGTAGTCTTAATAAGCTGGAGTTGGATATCATCATTCATTCATAAGACTTTGAGAATATACAAAAATCAAACCTAATTATACTAGAAAAAAATAACAATTAAAATCTAAGATATAAACTTATACACATAAAATTAGTGTTTAGACCTTGGATGTGAGCCCAGTAATAGTATAATTTAAAATCCTCTATAATTAAAAAAATCTCTCATTTCAAGATATAGCCACCTCTCAATTATTTAAGGAAGAAAAGCCTTGCAAAAATAGGTAAATTACAGATAATATACAACAAAGCCATATAAACTTGTTAATGGAAGAGTTACTAAAACAATCTCTGTGATAACATTGTAGATAGTGTGGTAAGTCTATATGTAAAACAGATACAGCAAGGCTTCTGACTGTATATAAGAATATATATTCATAAATAATTACATTTTGGAAATCTAGGTCTCACAAGATGATTGTACAATTAGTTAAATGGTTATATTCATGCAGCTAATATGAATAAGTCAATATATCAACCTGGGTAAAGTAGTGGTGTTCCGAGGGGTTGGCCCTGGGCTCAGGGTTGTTTAGTGTTTTCACCAATCACCTGGCTTATGGAATAGAGAACATGTTCATTAAGTTTAGATGACAACAAACTAGGGGGATTATATGTGGCTAAAATAAAAATTTGCAGAAGTAGTAAGAAATCAACAGAATGAATTTCACTCAAGTATGGAGTTATTTTCTTACAAAAAAACAAAATCAAACCAAATGCAGAGAAAGAAGACTAGTTGTGTGTAACCTTAATATCTAAACTTCAAAATGTGAAGCAAAACTAATCATTCTGTGCAAATAGGAATCATGAGGCATCCTACCACTAAACCCAGCAATAATCAGATTTTACCTAATCATTACTTTCACAAGCTGAAAGGATAAGAAAAATTTTGCCAAGGATACAAAGGAAGCCATTAAACTGACTGCATAATTAGACGTTGAGAATCAAGAGGAAAATTAATTAATTAATTAGTCTGTTGTAGGAAAGGCTGACAGATGACATGCTCTCCAAACTAAAAAATGTCCACATAGATAACATAATCAAGTAAAGGTCTTTCTCAAAAAGAAGAAAAAAACAACGGGGTTTGTACTGCAAGATGAAAAATGTATTAGCTACAAGAACAATTTCCTTATAAAGGGTATGAAACAATTAATTTGCTGTGAAAATGCATTTACACATATTTAAATGAGGACAGATTTTCAATGATCTAGAATAATTATTTTTACTAGATGCCCTAGAATATTAATTTCTAATATTAATATAAAATTTATAATATCAACTAAATACATATAGAAATCAACTTCCAAATAACTTCAATACACAGCTTTTGAATTAAATCTTAAAAGATAGAAATAACCGAGAGTTGGCTATAATTATATATGAAAATAAGTATTTAAGTAATAAAATGAACAGATAGAAGAGCGGCTTGATCTACAACTTTTCTAAACAATCCGATCAAAGCACAAAGGATAAACAAAGTAATTGATGTTTTTTGAAGTTTAAAGTTGAAAAGTATAATTTAAAGTTGGACTAAAGGAGATTATAAAAATCTGATCCTTGACTAGAAGTTTAATCTATTAAACACACTTAAGAACACCCATTCTTATTTCTACAGAAACCCAAACCTTTCGGGTGACCGTGATCTTGTTCGTCTTTTTTTGCGATCACCAGATGAAGATCTAGAACGACTTCTCTTCCTGTTCCTCTCAGGAGAAGATGATGAACTTGAATAAGATCTTTTTCGTGGGGAAGAAGAGCCCCTGTGGGATCTGGAGCTGGATCTTCATTGATTGAGAAACAAATCAAACATTTCATTAAAAGAAGAAATGAGGCAGATATTTAGTTAACAGCTCCAAAAACAAAAAGGATTTATAACTGAAAATTTTATGAGAAGAATACTTACTGCTTACTCAACAGAAGACTTCTGGTTCAACCATAAAAACAATTCTATTTAAATACATTTACTTTAATCTCATCTCTTTTTAAAATTGTAAGGTAAGTGTTTACTTAACAACCAGCCCAATATATTAAAGTAGAATTTTTAAATTACTTTTTTAAAACTTAAGGCTTTCATTTTAAAGTATACATAAATAGCAAAACCAACAGGTAAACTGTGCATTTACACATTTTTGTCTAGAAAATACATCCTTCCATTTGGAGAAAAATATGTATCATATATACACAACCTCCTGAGAAAAGTAAACATAACAATTCCTTGTGGAATTATAAAACTTATTAGTTAAGTTGCTATAAGAAAAGCAGGGATAGGGGACAGAAATGAGAAAAACAGCAACTATTAAACTGCTAAATATTCAAAGAAAAAAAAATGAGTAACTTTAAAACTTTATTTATATCAGCAATATTTATTTTTATGAAAGCCCACTATTCATGAAGTATGAAGTGTTGACATTCACATGTTTTAGGTAGTGGTAACCATGCAAATGTTTAAATGCAATTTTTTCTTCATTTACATTTTGGTTGAAGTAATTTAGCTCAAACTTCCCAAAAAATTCACCTTTGGGCTTAAAATAAACTTAGAAAGCCCAAAAGGAGAATTCTTTGGAAAGTTATAAGCAATGAAAAAATGTTTGGAAAGAATATAAAGGCTGTTCTGTAAACCTTATTACAGTGCTTCCCAAAGGGAACTAGGACTTATCTTCATCTAAGAAGCACTCAAAAGACTGTAACAATGATAAATACACATCACCACCACAGTAACAACAATAAACTCATTTGCTCTCTATTTTCTATTGGCTTAAACAAATGTGCATATCATTCTTTTCTTCTTAACGTTGTTAAACTGTTGTTGCCCTCTAATGCTATATAGACTTGGCTCTAATAAGCTATTAAGCCATTATTTTTACCAAAGGAGCTACCACTAAACTTCAGTCTAAAGTTCCACACAAGTAGAATTTTTTGTGTTTTCCTTATTCATGTTAGATGCCTTTACTAGATCAATAAATTAACTTAAAAAGAGAGACAGTATATTTTGAAAATGTTTAGAAAAACTGGTGTCTCATGTGCTTTTTTAGAAACTGTATAACTAAATGCAACTTAGAGTTAACAATAATATTACTTAAGACCACACTCTACTTAGACTAACCAACCAACTTCTTGACTTAGTTTGTGGAATTTAAGAGGAGTGTCTGTTCTCACACACTGTTTATAATAGTCTATGTAATATTACAGAGAAATGAAAATATGTATAAGACCCTCCCCCCGGAAACTTTATCTGATATAAATAACAAAATCATTTCTATAAATATTGAAACAATTGCCTTTTAAAACAAAATCTGTTTTGAGGCGAACTTCTTTTTTTTCCTTTTAAAAATGAGAAAAAAGCCCTGGCCAGTGTATCTTTAGAGCGTCAGCCTGTGTACTAGAAGGGTCACAGGTTTGAGTCTGGTCAAGGGCACATACCTGGGCTGCAGGTTCCTGCCCCCATCAGGGTGAATGTGGGAAGCAACGTGTGTGTGTGTGTGTGTGTGTGTGTGTGTGTCTCTCTCTCCTTCCCCCTTCTCCCTCCCTTCCAATCTCTAAAAATCAAAGGTGAAAATATCCTCCAGTGAGGATTAACAAAAAACAAAAACAAAAGAATAAACATTTCCTTTTTATTTGCATATCTCTAATTTTATTTGAACTACTACTGCAAACATAACTAATGTATGAGATATTTGGTAATAAGACCTGGCTCTGTCTTCCTACTTCATCACATTTTAGCACAAATAACAAATCTTGCACAATGCAAAATAACCTGAATTCAATCATGGGAATGTCTTGGCACACTGCAGGCAATGGAAACATCTCATGGTGAGAAAATTAAGCCAAGGCAAGTGCATTAGTTTTCTAATGCTAAAATAAAATTGACGATAGAAGCAAAATAAGGGGGGGGGGGGGGGAAGCAGCAACACTTTCTGCGGCCTTTAAATACTTTTTTCTCTCTGCTTTACAGAGAGATGCTACCTCATTCACCTTGATTTCGACCCACGAGATCTCGAATGTTCTCTGGAACTGGAACGAGATCTTGACTGCGAACTGGAAGAACTTCTTGAACGGGACCTGGAACAACATGGAAGGATTTTTTTTTCCAGGACCACTTAATTGAACTTTGTGATATGAACACTGAAAGAAAGATATGTATTAGAATTCATTTTCATGTAAAAGGACAACTATTTTGATATATGTTTTCATAACATAATATTTTCAAGTAACTTTTTGTTTTGATATTTATGCAAAAACTTAAAGATATAGGTAATTTTTAAAAAATAATCAACCATCACTTATCAAGTTTGACAAAATTACTCTAAATATTACTCAAGATTGTACAAATTAAAACATTCAGTATTATCACTTTATTAACACTGAATACTTTACATTTACAATATTTAAAAGTAACTTAACAGGACTTAACATATCCAAGGATTTGAATGTTGCAGTTTACATTTAATTAACTTCTCTGAAATATCTATTAATTTTCCTTATAAAATCCCTTCCATTTCCTCATTCACTATTTAGTATGAAGCTTTAAATGTTGACATGTGTATGTTTGTTTAACCCTATTTTTCTTCCTGCTCAAATGTTAGAGAATTAAAGGGAAAATACATTAACAACCCTGTCATTGTTTTAGGTAATTATATAATTGAAAAATGACACAGGGGAGATATGGTCCATTTAAATTTCAGAAGTCACAACAGAAGTAAAATTCAGTAGTAATCTTACACCTTTAATTTGTTCCTTAAAATAGCCTGCAGCAAAAGAATGTAACATTTTCATCTTAAAATTATCTTTAGAATCAATCACTTTTAAGCTTTAACTAATTAAGTACTCAATTAGCTAATAATTTTTCCTAAATTAAAAATTCACTGCATGTTGATTAACTTAAACTGTGAATAAGAATTCTTCAAGGAAACAGTTTATACAAAGCACTGATTTTTCTCACATAAAATTTTATTTTTATTGTTGACTACTCAATCAGGAAATATTTACTAAAATTTTACATTACTAACAAAATAATATTCAAGTACACCACCAATTGACTCCTTTAATTTATTCCTGAACATCTCAAAATTATAAGCATTAAGCCAATAAAACTTATATGACTGAATTTTCTCCTTTATTCAGAATACCTATAACAAAGTAAATTATCTAAGCACTATGTAACAAGCAAAAACTTAAGGCCTAGAAAATTTCTATATTAGCCTTTACTAGTGAAAACAAATATTCACTTTACTTAAAAATTTCTAAATGTAAACTGTACAGGTAGATAATACACTTTATGTAATGATTTAATTAGATCTTTAAAGTCTATTTTAATAAAAGGTCGGGAGATAAATGGACTGAGGAAGTTTCATATTAAAATCTGCATTTCTGAAAATACTGGACAGTAACTTCAAGGCACTAAGAAAAAATTTATCTTTTAAAAGATGACTTGAATGGAATCTCTAAAATAAAAGGAAAGCTTATTCAGTCAATAAAAACAAAATTTATAAATAAAGAAGTTAGATACTGACATTTTGACTGGTGTTACCCTTGACCTGTACCCGTTTACCTGGACCTAGACCTTGAACTTGAGGGGGAGGATGAGCGTGATGAAGATCGTGAATGTGAAGATCGAGACTTTGAGCGACTTCGTCTATTAGATTTCTTTTTATTACTATCTTCTTCTTCACTGGCATCAAGATTATATTTTGAGAGATCAGCATCATCTTCATCCTCATCCTAACAAAAATTCAGAGTCAATTATACTCAACATTTAGATATTAATGCTATGTAATAGGAATAATGAACAGTTCTAGGTACTGGGCATCTCCATATGGATTTAAATAACATCATTAATATCTCAGCAAATTCACTCTCAAGCTAAGCAGACTTAACAATTATCTCAAATATTTCAAAGAAGTAAACCTAGTAGTACTTATTTCCTCTTTTTCTGTCATAAAGTAGTACCAAAGAGCTGTCAACAATTTTCAATTTTACTCCCATTAAAGTCATTGAATCCATATCCCTTACTACTTCATTCTTTTCTCTACTGATATTACAGTAACTTTTTATGTGATCTAACTCAGAAAATCCATTCTGCCTCCCCAATTATCTCAATGTTCAAGTTGACCCTTGAACAATGCAGAGGTTAGGGGCATCAACCTCCCGCGCATGATTTTTGACTCCCCTAAAACCTAAGTATTAGCCTATTGATCAACAGCCTTGCAGAAAACACAAACTGTTGGTTAACAATTAACACATTTTATGATATATGTATTATATACTGTATTCTTACAATAAAGCTAGAGAAAAAATGTTAAGAACATCACAAGAAAAAGACAATACATTATAATATGCATTGAAAAATAAATCTGTGTATAAGTAGACTTGCACCATTCAAACCCGTGTTGTTCAATGGTCGCCTGTGCATATTGACACTCATCACTCTGAAATACAAGTCAGATACCTTATTTGTCTCTTAAAAATTTTGATTTGTTTAGTTGTATTCAAGGGCCTCTTATGATCTTAATCTAGACCTATACATCCAACCATAAAACTTTACACTCAGGCCCACAGAACAAACACCAGACCTCATGTGCTCGCTGCCCTCCCACATTCTTCCCTTTGCTCTAGTCACACTAGCCTATGTTGATTTTTTTAAAACGTTGCCGGCTTGTTTCCTATTCAGGGAACCTTTATTTGCTTAAGTTCCATTAAAAGAAGAGTGTTTCTGTCTCAGTCATTATTGTATTTCCAGAGCCAGAATAGTGCTTGGCAGAGTGAAAGCTCAAAACCTTGGTGAGAACAAATGAGTACACAGCCAGAACGTATCTTCACCACGGGCCAAAGGTCATCAAAAACATTCATATGTTATGTCATAACTGAAATAATACAAAGGGGAAAAAAATCATTTACCTCATCCAATTTATATTTAGAAAGATCTTCATCCTCATCCTCTTCTTCTCCCTCAGATTCTTTATCTTCAACTTCCTTTAAAATAGATGCTGGACCAACTGCCTTCCCTCTGTATTTTTTCTTTTTACGTCCAAACTAGAGAAAAAGTTTCATAAAATTTCTGTCAGCTAAAAATGTACTAATACTTTTTTTCTAAAAAAATCTGCATACATTTAAATTAATATGTATTTTAAGTCCATTATGCCAATTATATAAAGTCAATTATGATTTCCTAAAATATGTTTTTGTAAGATTCAAAGTGTACTTACAAAAATAAGATACATTTATACTTTCCTTTGCACTTAAGATACTTTCTAACATGTTTTTCTAATTTGTATTCAACCTGCACACTAATGCATAGCTTATTACCTCATCATATTCGCCATCAGATTCTTCTCTTTCTATATATTCAACATTTTCTCTTTCATTAAAACCACCACCATATCCTAAAATAAGAAGGGCATAAATTGTTATCCTCTGACAATTCATTAAAATAGCAAAACAAAAAAAACTCCTCAAAATCATCTCCAAGCAACAGAAAAAAGAAAAATCTTGCCCTGAGATTTGCCTGTGCATATAATAATTACTAGTATTTTAAAAAGCATTATTTAAAAAACAAAGAAACAAAAAAAAAACACTAGAGAGAAAAGTCTCAATGTGAGATACTTAAAGGTTAAAAGGTTAGAAAGTCCTGTCACTATACTTCCAGCTCTTATCAATTTCAAAGTGTCCTTAATCCAGCGGTTCTCAACCTGTGGGTCGCGACCCCTTTGGGGGTTGCCTAAGACCATCAGAAAACACATATATAATTACATATTGTTTTTGTGATTAATCACTATGCTTTAATTATGTTCAATTTGTAACAATGAAAATACATCCTGCATATCAGATATTTACATTATGATTTATAACAGTAGCAAAATTACAGTTATGAAGTAGCAACGAAAATAATTTTATGGTTGGGGGTCACCACAACATGAGGAACTGTATTAAAGGGCCGCGGCATTAGGAAGGTTGAGAACCACTGCATCAAAGAGGTAGAGCATTCATGGGAATATATGGGTGAAAAACATCTCCTCAAACCTCTGGTATAACTAAGTTTAAAAAGTAAAAAGGACTTTTCTCTGTAGTTTATCATAATTTTTCAGGTGAATTGGCCTAAACAAGAACCAAGAATCAAATTTCACTGTTTACCAACTGCAGATAGTCTGCAGTCTTGATATATTGAAATTTTGCTGGGCTAAAATTACAAATTACACCAGGCAAAATGATAATGGAGATCCAAATTGCTTTTAACCCTTTTCGGTCCAACGTGGAGGCTGGTTCAACAGACCAGGTGCTAGGAGCAGGTCCAAAGTCGAGGCTGAGGTCGACACCACAAACCGGTTCAACATTCAATCCCGTCAATTAATTTGGACCAGACTGTTTGAATTCCAAAAATAAAATTGGACCGCAAAGCATTAATGAAATTGTTTTTAATACAGAGGTAAAAGTGACGGAGGGGTCTCTGAAGCAGCCAATTAACTTTTAAACTGAAAATATTCTATTAAAAAGTAATCAAGATCAGCAAACCATTATTCTTTGATGTCACAATTAACACCTACAAGTAGACTGTCACTCCCGACCCCGACCCCCACAGACTAAGTCTTTCACATACATTTCACAGAGATTGAACTGAGAAAGTGAGTTAGTTTTACAGAAAGTGAGATGAGAGACAGTTTGAGTAAATCTCCCACTGAAAAATAATTGAGGAATCAAGTCAATAGTTAACAATCTACCCTAACATTCCAGAGCAATATGAGCACATGAGGGCAGTGATTTCCAGATTTAAGGACTTCACGAACCAGAAAAACATTAAACTTGCAAACAAATACTTTTAATTTGGGATTTGTGACTTTAAATTTATCAAACATGGGCATTAAAAGAATGATCATTATCCTATTATCATTTCATTAACAGCCACGAATAGTGGAACAGTTTTGTTTTAATAGAGGAGCATAATAAATATTGTCTCCTTTAATATAACATTCTTTCTTTTCTTCATTATACGTTGTACCAGTAAAAACTGCAATGTATCAATGTTTATCTTTGAAATACTTGCATATCATCCTTTTCCTCCTCTTCCTACCTTGTTTCAGAGACAATATGCACTCCAATGGAAAAATTTAAGAAGTTCCTTTTCTTTTTGTCCATATAACATGAATAACAAGTGTGTCAAATACCATTAACTTTTCCTTAACATTTTGGCTGTAGTTTTTCAGAACATCATAAAAAGACAGAACTAAGCACAAGTGGGTTATGTTCACCTCAAGAGAACCACTCATACTCACTGTTTTTTCTGGATTACAAAAATAATGAAAAGTTATAATTCAACAATATTCTTTGTCTCTAAATTTAGTTAACATTGTATCAGTATATCCCAAGATTAAAGTAAGAGTAGTTTGATAAATAACAAATTCTAAGAGATGACTCACAGTAAAAATCTAAACTTCAAAATACTTAGAAGTAGGTAAAAAAAAATTCATGGTATTTCCATCATTTAGTAATTTATAGTTGAAAAATGATATGGCAAAAATGGAGAGCTAAAGAATACATTATAGACAAAATTTAGAAAGTGAACTGTAATTCACATAGGTAATTTTGCATATATATGTAAGTAGAAATTACTTTAATATGATTATCATAGCAAATACAAAGCTATTTTCATGTTATCTCATACAGGCCACAGAAAAACAACCTAAATAATCTGCTGACAAGGTACTAGAGGCCCAGTGCATGAAATTCATGCACTGGTAGAGCCCCTAGTGCAGTGATGGTGAACCTATGACACGCGTGTCAGAGGTGACACACGAACTCATTTTTTTGGTTGATTTTTCTTTGTTAAATGGCATTTAAATACATAAAATAAATATCAAAAATGTAAGTCTTTGTTTTACTATGGTTGCAAATACCAAAAAATTTCTATATGTGACACGGCATCAGAGTTAAGTTAGGGTTTTTCAAAATGCTGACATGCCAAGATCAAAAGGTTCACCATCACTGCCCTAGCGGCTGCCAGCTGGGTACTCCCTCCCTTCCTTCCAGTAGCCTGCTGCCACCCCAGCTGCCAGCCAGGGCCTCCATCCCTTCTCCCTGGCCGGCCCCACCTCTGGCCGAACTCCCGGACAAACTCCTGGTCAAGGGGACAATTTGCACTATGCTTTTATTATATAGAATGTTGTATGAACCAATACAACAAATCCACCTTTATGAAGGGATGGATACATGGAAACACAGCTCTCTATCATGAAAAAACTTGAACACATCATTTTCATTGAAAAAAGGTGAGTTAGCATGGCCTATATGTGTGTTTCCTTCTTTCCATTGGTTTGAAGTTTGTCAGATTATATTGTAAAAATTGGTCTTCTTGTTTCTGTTCTTGCCACCCTCCCTCAAATTATTTTTCTACAAATCAGCAATATTTTTTAAAAATTGAGGTGTTGCTTTCTTGTCAAAAATCTTTCAGATATTTCCCATTATATTTAGAATGAAATAAACTCCTTACACCATGATTTAAATGGCTTTTGACTTTTAAAAGTGTTTCTTTCTCTTTAGTGTTTTCTGGAGCTAACTAAGAGATGACTCACAGTAAAAATCTAAACTTCAAAGGTATCAAGTCAAGAGTAACAATCTAGTTACATCCAGTGTGATACATTCTTTCAAGTCTCAGGTCCTTTACACAAGCTGTTTACCCTTGCTTCCAATCATCTTCAACTTGTTACTTAGGTAATTCTTTTTCTTTTTAGCTTAAACAATGCTTTATCAAACACACTGCTTTCTTAAAAAGACTTCATTAATTTTTGTCTCTAGATGTCTATTTTGCTTACCCAAGTATCCCCAACATCTTGCACAATGGCCAATGAGTTATTTAATCAATGAGTGGATATAGAAAACAACATAATTCTAGTGCCATTTAAAAAATTTGAGCTTTTTAAAGAAGGCTTTAAAATATAGGTGCTTTTTTGTTAATCCTCACCCAAGGATATTTTTTCCATTGACTTTTAGAGTGGAGGGGAAGGAGGGGGAGAAAGAGAACAACAACGTAAGAGAGACACATTGACTGGTGGCGTCCCTGCCCCCGTCACGTGCCAGGCCAGAGCTGGTGATAGAACCTGCAACCCAGGTATGCACCCATGACTGGGAATCAAACCCTAAACCCTTTAGTGCTCATGCCAATGCTTCACCCACTGAACGACATAGGCCAGGGCTAAAATAGTTAAGTGACACAAGCAACCAAGAACCTCTGTAGGTGTTAATATAAAAGTATTTTCAAATTTGTCTCATAATAAAATGTAAAGCAGTGAACGATACTGAACACACATTTAAATCAAGCCTAAGTTAGGGCCGTGAAATAAACAGAGAAAAGGGGATGAACATAACATGTACTTCAAAGGAAGAACTAAGGCACTAACTTGAAAATTCTGTGATTCTATATTTTGAACAAATTAATTAATCCAACTTCTGAGAATTTATTCTAATGAAATCAAAAGAACAAAAATCAGTGTATTGTTTCTATTGCAGTTATCCTTAACTAGAGGCCCTGTGCATGAAATTCATGCGGGGGGGGGGGGGGTACTCCTCAGCCCAGCCTGAGCCCCCTCGCAGTCTGGGAGCCCTCGGGAGATGTCCAACTGATATCCTTAGCGCTGCTGCGGAGGTGGGAGAGGCTCCTGCCATCACCACCACTGTGCTTGCCAGCGTGAGCCCAGCTTCTGGCTGAGTGGCACTCTCCCTGTGGGAGCGCACTGACCACCAGGGGGCAACTCCTAAGTTGAGTGTCTGCCGCCTGGTGGTCAGTGTGCATCACAGTGACTGGTGGTTCCACTGTTCGGTCGATTTGCATATTAGCCTTTTATTATATAGGATAATAAACATTTAGATCAGTGGGGAAAAAGAGAATAGAGCATTTCTAAAAGTATTCTAATGTCATTGTTAGGCTACAGCTTCCTAATGCTGTACTTTGTAAATTGTAAAATTCAAAAACAAAAGATGATTTTTATAAGTATGAGGGAAAAAAATCACGGGAAAAAAACCATAAAAGTAGAACAGAAAGAATCCTCAATCACTGTGCTCTTCAGATGATAGAACTGTCAATTAAACTTTTAGTTCTTTAAAAATCATTGTTAGAATGTGCCTTTATCTTACCTGTTCTTTCTTCTAACTTAGCATACTTTGGAGTATTACACATGTTACACTCTGATCTTCTTGCCCAATTCACATTACTGCAACTTTAGAAGTTAAAAATACCAAGTTAGTAGATAACTACAAGAAAAATAGTAAATTTTTAAACATTCTAGAATTTTAAAATAAAAACCAGGATGAAATAACTACCATAATATACTAAGAATATTGCAAACAAGGAAAATGTACCATTGTACTTTTTTTTCTGAAGAGAGAATGTGGGTTCTAACTAAGCAGAGAAGCAAAAGCAATATAGTATGGTGCCTTTCCCATTTTATGAAAAAGAAATGACAAATCATACTCATAGAGATTCTGATGCCTCAGGGGAAAAACATTTGAGATCGAAGATTCTACTAATTTCTGCCTCTGAATTCACCTCAAAGAAGGGTCATTTTTTTCCTTTTTGAGGAGTCAGTTCAAGTACTGAATTCCAAACCCAGTCTTAATCTGTTGCTGGAAAATTCTTCAGCACAAATTAATATCTATAGGATCAGAAATTTATAAGACCCCCTTCTGATTAAATCCTTTTATATATTTGATTCATGTGCACAACATAAAAAAATGGAAATTGGAAAAATCAATATAGAACTCAAAAATATTAAGAAATCTATCTAACTAGGAATAATTATTATGGCACACATGATTCTAAAATTACTTTGTAAACAGGTAAAATAACTTTTATGGTGTATTTCACATTAATAATTATTTTTGAGATTTTTCAGTAATAGTAGGCTTTTTTGGGGATGTCAGCTCACCTTAAGCATGTTTATTGGTATACATACCCCATCCTTGCAACAACTAATATTACTATTAAAAAATAGAACTTAATAGTTCTTTACACTTATATATAAGATACAGACTGAATAACAATAAACAGATCTTTGATTTAAAGGTGACCTTGGCTTGCTAATGTGACTAATAAGAGTTGGTAACATTAACAAGTAATGAGATACATTTTTATGGAAGAAGAGTGGATGATAATAAACACATACGTTTTACACTGCCAGTCATTAGCACTAAATAGACCTCGGCTCTTTTCTGCAAGTGTCTTTCCTATTTCAGTGCCCCCTGCTTTCATCATCTTAGCCTCAGTTGTTTTCTCTGAAAATAGAAAAATTATGCAACATGAATCTGGGGAAATAATGAATTTATCCGTATATACTGTCCTAATAGAAGCTTCCTTAATGCTTACCCCGACCACATCTATTACAGCTGGTTCTTCTGGCAAAGTTTACATTTCCACATCTGAAAATAAAGCGAAAAATATTTAGATAATTTTAAACCAATATAATTTTTTAAATCCTATATTCACAACTTTCAAATGTGTCCTCCCTCACGATATACCTGGATCCAGAAATTCTAATGGCATCTAAGTTCATTCTAAAGCCATGTAGTTAATATTAACTACAAAAAACAAATATCAAAAACCTCGCAATTTAGTGGGAAAATGTACGATTTAAAGTCACAAGTGCAGGATAAGAAACTCAATATCTCACTTTCTACTTATGTGATCCTGGTAAGTCACTTAGGATCTCTATGACTCAGTGTCCTATTAGTGCATGTCATTACAGTTTTGCGCCAAATAACATTTTAGTCAGCAATGAACAGCATATACAACAGTGGTTCCATAAGATTATAATGGAGTTGAAAAATTCCTATTGCCTAGTAACTTCTTACTGCAACGCAAGTGGTGATGCTGGTATAAACAAACCTACTAGGCTGCCAGTAGTATAAAAGTTTAGCACATACAATTATGTATAGTACATAATACTTGATAATGACAATAAATGACTATGTTACTGGTTGATTTAATCCTGTGTTGTTTTGTGCAGTAACAGCTATGTGTAGGCTTGCAGCCCAGGAGCAATGGGCTATGTATCTTACAGCCTAGTTGTGTAGTAAGTAAGCTACACCACCGAGGTTTGTGTACATGAACTCTGTATTTGCACAATGACAAAATGGCCTAATGACATTTCTCTGAACATATCCCTCTGGTTAAGTTGTGTATAACTGTAATTTTAAAAATTGATTTTTAGAGAGGGAGGATGAGAGGGGGAGGGGGAAAAGAGAGGAGGAGGCAGAGGAAGAAGCACTGATTTGAGGGAGAAACATCTATCAGTTGCCTCCCCTACATGCCCGACCCTGAGGATCAGGCCTAAAACCTAGGTATGGCAGAGTTCTGACGTGGAATCAAACTGCACGGGATGAAGTACCAACCCACTGAACCACACTGTTAGGGCACTGTAACTGTAATTTTAATAAAATCCCCTTGCAAAGCTGAGGTAAGATATGACTCCACTTACAATTACTGACAAGGCACCTGGGAGTTCCAAGAAACTTCAAAGTAATTCCCAGTATAGAAAATAAGATATACACACAAATGTATTAAGTATTATAAGAAATACAAAATCCTAAGGGTGGACCAGTGGGGAGAAAATAAATCAATCATAGAGGGCTTCATGGATCTTGATAAAACACTCTTTTTACAAGTAGGAGGTGGGATAGTAAGGAAAGGAAGACAGATGGATTCTACTGACTAAAAACTATACATAGGTTCAATAATTATAAGGAAATGTAGTTTTTTGGATTATCAAAACCTCTGAAAGCTAACTTAAAAAAAATATAATCATAACCAATAACCTCAACACATGGATTAACAGTATCACTTTATGCTTATAGTCTATAAACTTAAATAAAAACAAAAAAAATATTGGACTCACTAACATGGTCTGAATAGTGCATGTGCATATCAGTAACAGAATGTTAAATGGTCTAACATGTAAAACTTAAATTTAAAAAAACTTTACTTTTTTTTTTTAGTTATTATACTGGAATAAAATAAAGATGTGAAGTATGGAATCACCACTAAACCAAAGCATTCCAAATAACTTTCTGGTCCCCTCCAACGCCCAAGAATATCTGTTCTGACCCAAACACATTCTGAAAAATGTTTCCTGGATTTATATGTAGAAATAATATTCTACCCACATGTCTGTAACCGAGAGACCTCCTTCAAATACTTGGGTGTGTTGCATTAATGAGGCTATCAAAAGCACGTTATTCTACAAGCGACCAACACCACAAGAGAGACGTTGTTGAATACCATCGGAATGTTTTCAAATAGTCTCACCTCTAGGAGCAATGCTATTCCTAACACATCACTCTCGTTCTCCTTCGAGACTGTCAAATAGACCTGGAATCCTCCCGGTTACCTTAATTTTTATGCAATTGGCTTTTTAAAAATACCTTTTCATCCTTATTCTATTTGTTCAACATTTTGCTTGGAGATTCATTGATGATTTTTTTCATGTAAATTTAGATCCATCCTCTACTTACCCAGCATCATACTCCACTGTGCAAATATACCAATATGTATTTCAGTTACAGATGAACCTTTGGGTCGTTTATAGGTCCTGGCCACCATAAATAGTATAGCTATGGCTATTATGCAATTGAGAGCCACCAATTTGTTATGTAAAAACCATAATGGCTCATTAAACCTGCGGAAAGTATGGGCAGAGAACAAACGCTGAGGAAATAAGGCCTGCATCTCCTTGAGTGACATGGGGGGGCCAATCGCTGTCAGTGAGCATTTGCTCCATGCCACTGCTCTCCTCGCACTCTCTCTGCTATTTATTTCATGTATTGATGGTTCCGGAAGCCACTCTATCCCAGTTTTTACTTGTAAGCAACGTTAAATAACAAGGTTACGTGGCTAACAAGCAATAGGGCTGACATTACACCCAGGTCTCTGTTTGCTTCCAAGTCTTTCCTCTTTACCACCATCAGCTCTGCCGGCGGCGCCAGGGATCCCAGGTTTTTACGTGGACGTGAGTTGTGCGCTCAATGCTCCTGACCATTCCTTTCCACGGCCATCTCCACATATTTACAAACAGATCCACCCATCGGAGGGCCCTGCGATGGAAACCACCGCCGGACGGAGCACAATGACTTGGGCAACAATGTCAAAGGCAGAGCCGTCACCGCACGTGCTTCCCCGCGGCGGGCCTTCCCCGCGGCGGAAACACGGGCCTCCAGCCTCTTGGCTGGAACGAGGCGAAAGGTTTCCTTCTTGTGGGGGAAATTAAGGGAAAAAAGTCAGGATTTCCCACCCCAAAGAAGGGTAGTGCTGCTGTTGTTATGTGTTTTTTTGGGGGGAGTGGGTGGGTGGGTTATATATACACTACGAAGAAACGTTTGCATTTTTTTTAAAAAAATCCAACAAGGTGAACTATGAGAAGCCAAAGAGCGAGACGCTTTCCTCAAACAAGACAAAGTTCTGCGGGGAAAAGTCACGTGAGGGAGACCCAATACCAAGCGGGCCTCACCGGGGAAGATGTCCTGACGGCTGAAACCTGGCCGGGCCGGGGCGGGGCGGAGCGGAGCGGGGAGTGGGGGTAACGGGGAGGCCAATCTCGCTCCCCAAAATGAGGGGCTGACTTGGAGACATAGGAGCGAGGAAACGCTGGAGGGATGATCACGAAAGCCCTCCTCGTGAGGAGACTGGGAGCCTCCTTCCCGCCCAGAAGCCCGGAGTCGCCGCCTCCTCCCGGCTGAAGGCAACGGGGATCGTAAAAGGGGAAAACGCCGAACCGATCTGAGAAAGACGTCACCGATCAACCGCGCTCCAAGGCGGGGCCCTGGCTGGACTCACTTTTTGTCAGGGCAAATCCAGTCACCGTCACTGACTCGGAAATTCTTGGTCGACATCTTGGACGCTGCCGCCACCAGCACAGCCACCCGCAGCTACGTCTTCACCGGAGGAAAGCGGGCTGGGGACTTTCGGCACTCCGGGGCTGTCCTCGTGCCGCCTGACTCCTTGCCGCCGCTGCGTCAGGGGCTGGTGATGTGGGCACTCGGCCGGGATTGAGTTTAAACGTTATTGTCCAGAGTAAGATGCCTGTGCGATTTTTTTTTCCTGGCCAAAAGAGTTATAACGCAAATGTATTCTCCCGAGCTAAACTAACAGGCGCCGCAGGGGCACCCCAGGCGGGAGGCCTCTAGGCCCTCGAAGCCTTGGAGCGCCCCCTACAGGCGGGAGAACCCAAAAGGAAAGTACGTGCGTAGCTCAGATGGGCGGAGCCACGTAGGCCGAGGCAGAAGCGATTGTATTCAGCTTGGGTCTTGGAATAGCTGGCTGGTTGTTCAGTCTACTGTCAAAGGGTTAGGAACAGTGTGTTACCCAAGTTTTTGGAACACCTTCTTTAATAAAGGATTGAAAATGTTGTTCTATTATGCACACATCATGTCGTTTAGAAAATTATTGTTTTTTGATAGATAAATACAGATAAGCAGCGTACACATGGAAACGGACCATTAATTTGTGAACAAGGATATTACCAAAATTAAAAAATCTTTTATTTTTTTAATAGAATTTGTTGGGGTGACATAGGTTCGCAAAACTATTCCGATTTTCATGTGTACTGCTCAATAATGCCATCTGCACACTGCATTGTGCGCCCATAGCCCCAAGTAGTCTCTTCTCATTCTCCCCACCTTCGCCCACCTCCAGCTAACCCGGACCCCCCACTTCTCTCTGACTGTCATCACACTGTTGTCTGTGTCTATGTGTGTACATAGGCAGATAGATAGATAGATAGATAGATAGATGATAGATAGATAGATTGCACGAGATCAGCTGACTAAGGTCCACACTTGACAAAGAGGTGAGAAAAGGGAGGAAAAAAAAAATTTGGATTACCGCTATACTCTTCAGACCACTGAGGCCTACTTTCCCATTTCTCTTGTCTAGAAAGATAGGGTTTCTCTTAGTATTGGAGCTGACTAAGCCCAGGCCTTAACTACTAGGCTAGAAAGATGGTTTTTGGTGTTGGAACTGTCCAATCCCAGGCCTTAACTCCCAGGGAAAAGCCCACAGGGGAAAAAGATGGAGAAAAAGCCAGGAATTTCCCACAAACTTTGGCTCACAGAAGCCCCCTTCCACCATTCAACTGGCTAGAAATATGTTGTTTTTTTTTAGTTCTCAGATTTTCTGCCTGGGCTGCCATCAGTTTCAGTAGGTGCCAAGGCTCAGGTCAAAGCTGTAAGAGAAAACAGGAAAAACATGGGGCGTTTCTCCCAAGTTTTGATTCTCCCCAATCTTTCTGTTTTTGTATTCTCTTCAGAGTCCCCAGGTATTTGCTTTTTGTATTTTGTCCGGAGCTTTCAGTTGTAATCAATAGGAAAGCTAGGCTGCAGTAGTTTTACTGCATTTTGGCTGGAGTTACTTACCAATACATATCCATCAGCATGATTAAATGAAAAATTCAGGCAATACCAAGTGTTGGAGAGAGTATGGAGAAACTAGAATTCTTACACACTGCTAGTGGAAATGTCAACTGATACATATGTTTTGGAAAATATTTGCCAGAATTTATTATATTTGAATATATACAAACCCAAAATACCACTCCTAAGTACACTTCCAACAGAAATGCACATAAATTCACCAAAAATCCTATCTAATAAAAGAGAAATATGGTAATTGGCATACGACCGCTACCCTTCCCATTGGCTAATCAGGGCAATATGCAAATTAACTGTCAGCCAAGATGGTGTCCGGCAGCCAGGCAGCTTGAAACTAACATGAGACTTGCTTGCTTCAGTGACGGAGGAAACCAACGTTCCCCGCCTGCCTTGCCAGCCTCTGAGCTGGCAGTTTGAAACATAGTTACAAAAATAGAAGCTAAACAAAACCCCAGAAACCAGCTTTCAGTGAGCAGGGATCTCAGACCTGGAGTTGATACAGAGTTTCGATTGTAGAACCTAAACAAACCAGGTACCTGCTTTCAGGAGCGGAGGCCTAAGAGCTGGAGCCTCAGAGCTAAAGCTGTCTCAGAAAAAAAAAAAGAAAAAGAAAAAGAAAAAAAGGAGCAGTTGGGAGCATCAGTCCCAGCCTGAAAACAGCCCTCAGCCCCTCACCCATACTGGCCAGGCACCCCAGTGGGGACCCCCACCCTGAAGGGTGTGTGACGAGCTGCAAACAGCCATCATCCCCTCATCCAGGCTGGCCAGGCACCCCAGTGGGGACCCCCACCCTGATCCAGGACACCCTTCAGGGCAAACCAGCTGGCCCCCACCCATGCACCAGGCCTCTATGCTATATAGTAAAAGGGTAATATGCCTCCCAGCACCAGGATCAGCGGAGACGCGAGGTCTCCCGGCACCGGGATCAGCGTGACAGGGGGCAGCGCCCAAACCCCCTGATCGCCCTGTGGCTCTGTGTGTGACAGGGGGCGGGGCCACAACCTCCATATTGGCCCTGCTCTGTTCCTGACAGGGGAAGGCGCCCCAACCCACTGATCAGCCCTGCTCTGTGCCTGATAGGGGGGAGCTCCCCAACCTCTTGATTGCCCTGCAGCTCTGTGTGTGACAGGGTGCGGCGCCCCCCACCCCCACCCCCCACCCCCACCCCACGGGCCCTGCTCTGTGTGTGATGGGGTAGAGCCATAACCTCCCCATCGGCCCTGCCCTGAGTGTGACAGTGGCGGTGCCCCAACCCCCTGATCGGCCCTGCTCTGTGAGTAATAGAGGGAGGCACCCCAACCCCCTGATCCGCCCTGCTCTGTGCATGACAGGGGGGAGCTCCCCAACCCCCTGATGGGCCCTGCTCTGTGCGTGACAAGGTGCAGCACCCCAACCCCCTGATTGGCCCTGCTCTATGCATGACAGGGGGTGGCGCTGCAACCTCCCCATCAACCCTGCATTGAGTGTGACAGGGGGCAGTGCCCCAACCCCACAATTGGCCCTACCCTGAGCGTGACTGAGGGTGGCATCACAACCTCCCAATCAGCCCTGCTCTGTGCATGACAGGGGGCGGGTCCCTAATTCCCCAATCGGCCCTGCTCTGAGCCCAACCAGGGGCTGCACCTAGGGATTGGGCCTGCCCTCTGCCACTCGGGAGCAGGCCTAAGTCAGCAGGTCGTTATCTCCTGAGGGGTCCCAGACTGCGATAGGGCAGAAGCCGGGCTGAGGTACCCCCCTTCCCCCCCACCCCCCGAGTGCACAAATTTTTGTGCACCGGGCCTCTAGTATGTATAATAATGTTAATCACTGCACTATTCACAATAGCCCCAAACTAGAAGTTTCCAAATACTTATGAATAAATGGTTATATAGTCACACAGTGGAATACTATATACAGCAATGAGAATTAACAAATTGCAAGCACATTGAACAGTATGGATGTGACTCACAAATGCAATATTTTATTGAAAAATCCAGTCAAACTAGTACATACTTTATGATTCCATGTATGTGAAGTTCAAAAGCACCTAAAACTAATCTAGGATAATGTTTACTAGGGAGTGGGGAAGACATAGTGACTAGAAGGGAACATGAGGGACCTTTGAGGGTCCTAATAATATTCTTTGTCATAATCTGGGTTCTTCACCTTCTAAAAATTCATTGAGTTGTACGCTGTTAACCTAAAAATAAAGGCCAAAGTGAGAGGCAACAAGTGTTTATTTGAGATCAAAGAATAGCTACTTGGGAAGCACTGTTTCAGGCAGAAACTCAGATAGTGTTCTGATTATGGGGTGAAGGCAAGGAGATTTTATGAGAAAAGGAAAGGAAAAATTACATGGACAAAAGGGTGAAATTTCTATTTATGCTAACAAGCTAAGTTATTCTTTAGCTGTACATGGCTATTTACTGGTTCTAAAGAATGTCTTTAATTATGAGTTCTTGTAAGCGGGAGGTCTGCTTTCCTGTTACTTTTACAAACAGTTGTTGGGAAGACAATGTTGCTCTGGCTCAGTCCAAAGGTGATTCTGCCCAGTTCAAACTTTCCAAAGGTTCCAGAAATAAGGTGTGCAATGCAGTTCCTCTGGAATGGCTGCCCAGACTCGTCAAAATACTTTTTACAACACTTAGGATTTGGGTATTATTTTCAACTCCAGTAAGAAGTTTAAAAAAGCAAATACTTAAATATACCCATCTCATCATATCCCACCTATCTTCTCATTCAATAAATACTTGCTAAATATTATACCAACTTCAGGTCAAAGGCAGTAATCTCAGACCCTCTTGTGACCTGAGTATCGTTTATACCTAGGTACCTTCTGACTCTAAAGGCGAGTGAGGTTTCTTACAGTTGTGATGTGTTGCATCTGCCCAGGGCTCCTTGTCTATCCTCACCACTGGGAATGTGCATGGGCTGCAGGGCTGCATCAACATTGAAAGGGTCACATTGTACCAATGCAGTGAGGCTTACACAGTTCAAGAGAAGACATGGTTGGAAGATGTGTTGTTCTATGTTAATGCTTTACATGCTAAAAGTATATGCTATAAAATTCTAAATGATAAATTTAGCATGACCATAAAACAGATTAATTAGTTGTTTATATTTTCCTGCATTCTCTGGGTAAGACTTCCATTTGTGGTCATATCAACAAAGCACATTAACAACATTAGAGGGACATTGGAAGCCACTATTGATGGGCAGCACTATGGATATTGCCATGAGATGAGTAATGAGGTAATCAGCATTAAATTAATGGCATTAGGGAACTGCAGAGGCAAGAAGATCTATACTGTTTCAATTAAAAACGTTCCAAAAAAATTTTTTTCCAAAGAGCCATAGCATTGTGAATAATAACAGTGTTGCTACCTTTTCCTTGCAGTGGGATGTATGAAATTAGCCAGGAATGGTATCTTTAACCATCAACAACACAAAGAAATGGATTCTGGAAACCAAGAAAATTTTTCTTGTGCACTGATTAGACATCTATGTTAGTACCTTTTCCTTGCCCCCAAACTTATCAGTACATCACTACACTTCACATGAGCCCATGATTTTTGTTAATTACTTTTATAATCAAATTGTTGCTATGGATAGCTTCTACATTACCCACCCTAAAATATTCCCCCCAGG